ATACATTTTTGTCGCCAAAGTTCATGCCACAATCTCTTTGATGCGATAATATATGGCCCAAATTGAAATGGCAGTTTGATGGCATCTTTTAATGGTGTGAACTTGAATTTTCTGTAAATCAACGGAACTATATTAGAACATTCATAATAGGTTAATCCAAAACTGCACAGGAGTACTTACATATGCCCGAGCATGTACCCGTTGCCAAACCAGCTACCAAATACAGCTACAGCTTTATCGTCAGGCTTCGACAATTCCTCATTGAACGAGTTCATACCATACTTTGAATTACCGGAATATCCTACATTTCATGATAAATAAAAAATTGTAAGCAAACACAAAACATAATATCCCGTAATTTCGTCTCACGCTGCATTACGTGACAGTGATATATTGTTTACATTATCCTATGCAGGGGTATCGCCTGGGTTGGTGTTTTGCATCATTTGGAAAAGAAAAATGTTAAGGTAATTAAAATCCTTCATTATAATAGACTCCAAAATGATCATTTACGAAAAATATGCGTAAACGCATTATGGAATATGACACAAATTTCATGCCTCTAAAAATGTTTCTGTGCTACCAATCAGCAAGCTGTGCATTGGCTTACCAAAAGTGTTCATAGTTTGTTGTGACGTCTGTTCTCCTGTTACATTGGGACTGAAACAGAAATTTTTATCTACATTTCCCTATACATTTCATGAGATACACCTTCATAACTAACTTCATTATGATATATATACGTTGACATGGATTAAAAATGAAGATGGGCCTAACCTTGTCTACGAAAAGAACTTGGACGACGATGTCATATCCGAATCTCATTACTTTGTGCATCTCTAATAAATGTTTAATTATATCCCTATCCTGTTGTGCATCAGATGAAAAAAATCAACAGTGTTTTGATATTAGTCTTTAATTAAGATACATTTTTGTATCCACGTACTTAGTAGGATTTTAATGTCATTCTGTTACAGTGTTACCTAATCAACCCATTTCACTTTCTTCAAACAAATGCTATTGACAATTTGATCTACCTAATAATTCTTCCTATGTAAATTGTGTCTCGTCTGGATTGTCTATTTCAGCTGGTGGTATGGGTAACTACTTGATGGAATCATCTATGGTGAAGGTTTTCCCGATTACATGTGTATATCCGAATTGCCTTCAACCCAATTTTGAATTTTGAAGCACTTGTAGCTTTCCTTTTTGTGTTAAATTTCACAACGCTGCGAAAACCTTGAAAGTGGACATCATGATTATAAACGTTATTGATTCAATGCAAACTGTAACATTCCTTTTGATTAACCCAACATAGTATGCAGAACATTTCTCGATTTTGCTAGGCTACATCTCCACTATTTCTACCAAATTTCACAGAAAAATATTGTCAGATAACAGTTTTAAAATCCTGCACTATCCTAATATTTGTTGTTTATACTCGTACTCACCAAACAGTGTCTTGGCACTTCTTATTATGATTTCTAGAAAAACATATCAATTAGAATAAGGATTATTTCGTTAAGCTTAGTGAAGTATTTCTCTAACAAAGCAGCTGTCACTCGTGAATCGTTATTTGTCCAGCTGATGATCATCGAGTTTTCATTTCTACAAATTTTCTTGGATAATGATGGAATGGAATTGTAAGCCCATATATGAAATGCAAGTGGGATATCATAAGCTTGTATGTTAAAATTCCTTTCAATTCTCCATCACTCGATTGAGCATTTTTGAATGCGTTCTTCAAGTACAAGAATGTAGTGTGGAATAACTCTTTACCCCATGGAAAAGAGTTTAAGAGTGGAAAATCGACGAGGTGATCATTCCACCAGTGATGACATTGGGCTGCATGGTGGTGTACAAGAACATGGAAATGAGGTAAAGCGATACAATCTTAACTCTTTGGTATTTGTCATTAGTTCCTTGAATGTATTTTCAATGTTGTTCATGTACACTTCTTAATTTTGCTGAAGTACCTATCTCTGTTATGGTATCCACTCAAGTTGTAAAAATTTTATTGGTCATCGTCAACACGTTTCAATCCGATGACGAGAGAATTCGTTCATGGAAATTCTGAGAAATTTCCACTCAAGTTCTTGTCACTGATACGGCATCCACTCAAGTTGTAAAAAAAGTATTGATCGTCGCCCACACATTTCAATCCGATGAAAAGAGAAAAATTATTCATCAAAAATCTGAGAAATTTCCCATCCAAATCAAACCACACTTTATCTTCATTCGACTGTTTGACTTCCAGCATTAGCATCTTCTGTATACGTTGATATTGTAATCGAATGTATGACACGTTCATAAAGTGACCAAAGCAAGATCTTTAGAAAATACCCTTTTGCGATTTAATCAGCTTCGGGTTCAAGATTGGTATTACATTGTTTTTGAAAGATACATTGATGGTGCCCCCAAATCCATTCTCGGGGTAAATGATGAGTTTATAGTTCTGTTAGAGTGAAAACAAAGATCAATCAGTATCAAGATGTATGACATAACACATTTAGATAATTAGATTGAAAATGTAACGAATGATTAGTCATAATATGCTTCATAACGTGGATAATGCCTTGAATCTTTGGACGTGCAAATCGACACGATAATCAAAAATTGTAAACGAAGTGAACGGATGTACGGTACCTTGCATACCCTCTTTTCTACAGGGACAATGTAGTTTGTGCATTACGCACACTGGTATAAACATTACTACACTTAACACATAACATAGAATTTAGAAAATTAAAAAAAAATGTTTATACATAATCGAGTTTCTTCATGCATAACATAGTTTCTAATTTTGTCGCTTTACATGATGGTGAGCTAAATTCGATAAATGTGCATATCTCCCACTTAATCAAATGATAAATTCATTTAATAACAATAATACATAAATAAAATTTTTAGCAAAAAAAAATTATATTTGGGATATCAGTATGCCAACCTGATGGTTAGGCTGCATCAACCTTTTCTTCTTCTTTTGCAATGAATC